CACAACGCCAACGCGGGTGTTTCCCAGGGATCAATCTTGGCTCCGACATTGTTCCTCTCATATATCAACGACCTCCTGTCCTGTACGATCAACCCAATCCACAGCTTTGCTGATAGCAGCATTCTATATGCAGGAATTCAGGGTGACCAGCCGATATCGGCCGCTGAGCTGGAAGAAAGAAGACTAGCGACGAGTTCCTCTCTGACGAGAGACCTGGAGGTTATCACTGCTAAGCTATTTTGTTTGGGGCTAAGAAGTACTTTTCTCCGCATGACCTTCTCACTCTATACTATACTACAACTATTAAAACTGTAATGACTCGTACACGTGATCAACACGTGATCAGAGCTCGATCCCGGCTTCCTTCCAGTACAGCCGTATAGCGTACGACATATGTCGTTTCTGTGGCTTTGCGGTGGTCAACAGCACAGACAGAGATGGAAATAATGGCTGATTGTTCTCCGCCGGTAGAACCAATGAAATCAAAGACGCGCCTCGACCGGCAGACTCATAGGCGTCGGCAACGCATTGGAACGTGTTTCGTTGAGCGATCGCATATTGTGTGTTTTTATAAGAATTGTTGTGTGATTGTTATTGTTGTGGTTTCTGTGGTTACTGTTTTGGTTATACTTAACCATGGAGAGTACAAATGGCACGAGTGGAAGTACTGAAAGCCAGGGAACAAGTAGACGGCTTCGTAAAGCACTGAAGAGGGACGCGAAGAACGAAATCGTGCTCACGTGTTCAATTATCTGAACAGAACTATGTCGCAGGGAGATGCACTCGCGCGTTGTGAAGTATGACAGGCGTTCCAGAGTGGGCCATTCGCAGGGTGGTGCATGAAAAGAAGAAAACTGGAGCTACTACTGATCCAAAGTTAATTTGAATGGACGAAAGGCCGTTAAATGGATGACGATAGCAAAATGGCGTTAAGGCGAACCGTACATTCATTCTTCTTTAGGAATGAGATACCAACCCTCAAGGCTCTACATGCAGCGATCAAGGAAAATGAAATTATACCCCAAAAGAGCGTCGAGGTAATGAGGAAATGCCTGCACGAAATTAATTTTCGTTACGAAATGCGTAATCGGAAGTCAGTATTGATAGAGAGACCTGAAATAGTCGCCTGGCGTCGAAAATACCTACGCGAAATGATTGAATATAGGCGACAAAGCAGAAAAATCTATTATTTGGACGAGACATGGGTAAATGCAGGTCACACAGTTAAAAAACCTGGATAGACAAAACGTAGTGAGTAACCGACAAGCAAGCATTGAAGGTTTGTCAAAAGGTCTTCGTGGACCGTCAGGGAAAGGTCAAAGATTGATCGTAACTCATATTGGTAGCGATAGTGGCTTTTTAGAAGAGTGTGACTTCATTTTCGTCTCTAAGAAAGGAGGTGATTACAATGACGAAATGAATGCCAGCTGCTTCGAGAGCTGGTTTCAAGGGGTGCTTCAGCGAGTTGAGCCCAACTCTGTGATCGTCATGGATAATGCTTCCTACCATAGTCGTCGAGCCGAACGTGTACCGACTATGGGATCTCGAAAAAGTGACATGCAGCAATGGTTGCGCGAAAAAGGAATCCTGTTTGATGATTCATGTGTGAAAGCGGAATTGTATGAAAAAATTAAACAGCACAATGTGGTGTCACTGTGCTGCGGTTACCGCCCTACCACTGTGAACTGAACCCAATAGAGCTCATCTGGGCTCAAGTGAAGGGTTATATTGCGCGCCATAACACAACCTTCAAATTACCAGACGTTAAGGTTTTACTTGAGACTTCCATACAGCTAGTAACGCCCGAAGCTTGGCAGAATCCTATCCGTCATGTTGTGAAGGAAGAAACAAAAATGTGGCAGCTTGACCACCACATCGACACCATCATAGAGCCAGTTATAGTCAATTTCAACGAGGAAAGCGATAGCGACAGTTTATTACTGTCAGATGTAAGTGGAAGCGACGATGAATAAAGGTAATTCCCAAATTTTTGACTTACAATATGTTTCAAAACCACTCTTTAGTGAGCATGTGACAAATCTAGTTCACCCATGTTAAACATTCATACTCCGCCTATGAACAGCCGACTACTGGTAGTTAAGTGGTGTTCACGTGAACATCGATGAGTCATTACAGTTTTAGATAGTAATAGTAAACCTGCCCTTAGCCTTTGAGATATTTATTTATTATTATACTTCTTTTGTCTAATATTCCAAGCTCATACAGAACTGAATGTTTAAGAGTGTTACAAATATAACAATCATGATCTCAACCCAATACCATTGATTAACTTATTCAACCTGCCATTACTTACCTATGAATAATACTATCCCAAGTAACTGGTGTCCACTTATACCCATATTGTGGACCCACTTATATAAAGGCTCCATTGCTAAAAAATTAGCAGTGCTACCAACTCGTGAAAAGCTGAGCTGTAACCCAAATACCATGTTCAACTCTTTCCCACTGAACCACAGTACAGCATAGTTGTTCTGAGCAACAGCTAATGATTCTCCTCCAATACTGAAAAGGTATAATGTTTTCTGTATGAATATTTTAGGAGGTAGTACAAAACATAATTTTCATTTCGAAAAGTTCAACTCGATGAAGTTATAAAAGGGACAGTCAAATTTTTGATGCCAGATAGAAACTTAATTTGAATATGAATAAATTTTATCTACCCTTTTAGATTACCGCGTTACAAAAAGTACAAAAGTACGTCATGTGTTTCTTGAGTGGTGATTAACTTCTTTTAACGAATACTAGGAAACGTTGGTATCGAATATTTTTGACAAGTAAAATTCAAAACCTTTAAACTTTCCATTGCACTGTAATATTCTAACGGACTTTTTTTGTGCCAACAACATTTGCACCGCAAGTCATCTTTTATTAAGGTTGAGTGTAATAGATTTATCTAGACGCAGCCTATCAGGAAAAAGACGTACATGATGTACATTTTGTATTCCAATAAAGACCTTTATTATAATTATTATTTACCCGAATATGAATCGTCCTAATACCATGAGCCAATATGTTTTACAATATGCGCCTAATGCAAAAATTGCATGTCCTCCTAATGTGAAAGCTGAATAAATAATGGCTCCTAGACGAATTCCAAATACACTAGAAAAAATGGTTTAATCAGTAAGACAACCAAATATAGGAATGTTTGATTTAAGTACCTGTCTATTAAAAATCCTCCTAAAAAACATAGTACCACATTTGGCCATGAATATATGGAATATAATATAGAATATTCAGCGTTTGTAATATTGAGATCCTTTTTCATGTCGTCTATCAATGCTCCAGGGTTATCATAACAAAAATACGATCCTGAAAGATGTAAAAAACGAATGAAACGGTATTGCATTGAACCTAGAGTAGAGGAAGTATAGAATAAAAAATAATTTCACTACAAAAGTTACCATTAGTTTCGAGTAGTTGCAAAACTAATGATATACTGAGTATGATGTGTACATGATGCGATTTGTTTTCTATTTCTAGATGTCCCCTCTAGTGAGTCCTGGTAGTAACTTTTTTTGCATGAGTTGATTATGCAGATAGCGACAAGCTAAGATGAGGTTATCTGTCGTTTATTAATGTAGCAGACACGTCTCCTTCTGCCGTCGTTTTTGAATATTTCTGCTAGATACCTAATATTGGTAGAACAGGAATTTAAGGGCTGTCACAATTTTATACATATTTACTTCTTCTAACTGGAGAGTAGGCAGATATTTTTACAATGTAAAATTTGGTTCAATCTGTGTTGATATTGACATTTTGAATATTTTAAAACAATGTTATGGGAACGACGTCGCAGGTAACAGCTAGTTAAGTGTAAGTCTAAGCTAATTTGTGCAACTAACAAGCTAACTGCAAGTAAAGATAAGTAGTAACAAGAATAATTACCACCCAAGATCTCTGTAAGCACTTTTGAAATGATGCACAGCTTCGTTAAACGATAAAATGATTGGTAGTAGGGACTGATACCAATACAAGGTCTGTACTTTAAGTGATGAAACTAACAACGTAGCGTTCGATCTGGCAACACTGGAGGCGCCGGCCTTGGAGGGGAGACAGTGGAACATATGATCCGCCTTCAGTGCAAGTTTGAACTAGCTCGAGTTATTTGGTTGTCCGTAGCGATTTTTTTGTGAAAGTTTTGCTTCAACCTTGGCCAGTTTCTTCGATCCACCTCACTTTTACTTTGAGGAAGTCGAAAACATTCAAACGGCTGTAACCGACCAGCTGAAGGATTCCAGTATCGGAGTTCCAGCACTGCTCTGAGGAGTGGAAGAACCAACTCGAGTGTTGTGTGGCTTCAGACGAACGTTATTTTGAGGGTGACCATATCAAATTGTAATTATATTTGGATAAAAAAATTAAAAAAATCAGTGTCATCACTTAATTTACAGGCCTCGTAAGTTATACCGGCATCGGCATATTCGTATCTACCTAATCTGCCGATATAAATGTTCAAGTGCCGATGAAGGCCGGCCGATGCAAGTCATAAAGTTAACGAACATCAAAATTATTAGAATGAGAAGAAATATATATTTCAACCAACTGTAGCTCTTTTTTTGTTTCCTTTTATCCCCTACGCCAATTGACGAGAAAACTTTCCAAAATGAAACCATGAAACTCATTTGCGTCTGACAGTCAGTCTGTTGGCCCCGCTATAACATGGCAAGAACCAGTTAGATTATGAAGCTTTGTGATTTTGAAAATCGATTGCGGAGGTACAGGCAGAAAAAAAGAAAATAAAAATTCCTCAAACTTTGTTTTTGACTTTCCAGAAGGTCCTGAAATTTTAGTAACAGCATTAGAGATATCTGTCACATTGTTTTTGGAGCATAAGTAAATTTAACATAGCAGTATTTGAGTGAACTTTGCATCAAGTAAGTCAACTCTAGATTTCACAAACAACTGATTTATTATTTGAAGGTTCCTAACATTCTCATATACTATTAAGCTTAATGTCTTCAAAACAAGCAAGATGTGATGTACACTGAAAAATTATGGAATTGTTAGAAAACCGAGAAAAAATGCAGGACTGTGAACAATGTGCCATAATTTCGAATAACTTTGTTTTCCTTTTGAAGAGTATCCAGAGCTGATAAAATAAAATTAAACAAAGTAGCTTGGCACTCAGTGGATACTCGAAAATTTTCAGTTCAATCATGTAAGTGTTGTGTTGTTGATTTCTGATCAACGGATGGACACAACTTATGTTTGTTTTCTTAATTGACAGATAAGATGACAAACCAATCTCTATCATCATGAGATGAGATAGGAGAGTTTCCTATATGCAGATGTTCAAATGCAAATGATTTCTTGAAATTTGTTTTATGAGAACACTTTCTATCTATCCCTATTCCTACAGGGATATTCTGAGAATATATATGATAGATCATGCATGTATTATGTTCTAATATTGGGAAATGGATTTGATCAACGAAAATGCATCATAAAGAACCAAGTAAATCAATTGATGCTCTTCCCTGATATGTTCAATTTTTAGTTACGTGCAATAATTATAAAATAATAAATTAATATATTCAACATTTGTATAATTGACCTGCTTTCGATATTTCATAACCATTTAGTCAATGTAAACAAATGTGATAAGTGCCAGATTTTTTGCCCATTTTGGATACAGATAATGCAAATAAAGGAAACAACTATGCTGATTTATAATACCAATTATTGTTTTACAACAGCTATTCTCAGATATGCATTCCTTGTTCATATATCATATAACATAAATAATAATTACAGATTTTTATATGCATCATAATACATAAATCATAAAAAATTAATAAACGATACTTCATTTCATTCAGGCAATATTCAGTTCATTAAGCTATCTGTTTTTAAGTAGTTCATATTATTTTGCTTCACTGATAATAAATAACGTATTTTCTTTACATGAATCTTGCTTCAATAACATGTGGAAGCATTTATTGAAGGTGGTTCTACAGTGGGTGAAAAATACTGTTGATCAGTTTTTTATTCTACTAAAAACATATTATTCTCTAGAATAAGAAATATAGTATGATAGCTATTGTGCTATTTCAAATGAATGTGAAACGAAAATACATATTTTGCTAAAAATGTATGCTACAGGCAGCATAATTTGTTTCTTATTCTAACAAATTTGAGATGCTGAAAATATGTATGCTAGATGAAAGGTCAATATTCAAAATGAAATTAGTTAAAACCTTACCAAATCCTAAAAAGCACATAAAAATGAGGGCAATAAACCTGTGGCATCTCCCTGCAGGATGGCAAAACCAATTGTAACATCCTGGGGGCAAACTATCTGCATCTACGAAATTTTCTTGAGATTCTGCTGTTCCTGCATCATGAATTGAGGAATCTTCACCTTCCATTGTCACCTTTTAAATGATGTACTTCAGAAGTTTACGTTTCTCTCAACACTCAACCCCTATATGATACTTATCACATAATTCAGTTATCACTAATAAAATTATGCTGGTACTCAAATTTAACATCTATCGAGACAATAGTGATAAAACTGCTGCATACGATTACGATTAAATAAAAGTCTTTACATTGTATAAGAAAGTTTGATAAAACGCACTTGTGTGTCACAAATTCCTCTAATTTTATGAAGTAATCCGATTAGATTGAACAAAGTACACTATTTTCAAGAAAGTACACATTAGAAGATATTAACATAAATCACACGCAACAGCTGTGTTTATCAGCTGTTAACCTGTAAAGTGTCAACGTGAACGTGACACTTCCAGGCAGAGCCATCTACTCAAATTCAAAAATTGCCAGGGTCGTCTTCAGTGATTTTGGCTTTAGATAATGTGGAGTATAGGCTTGTTACAAGAAGCAGCTCCGCACTAGTTCGGAACAATACAGAATTATTTTACTGCGCATGCCCGATGTAGTACAGTTCAGAACTAGTCCCGAACTAATCTGTTGAAATTTGAAGTAAAATTTAAAGTCGTAAAGATTCCTTATGCTAGACGTAGAATTTGAGATAATTTGTTTCGTGATGTACTGAAAATTAAAAAAAAAATGGGGGATCCACTTGGCTGAATGGCTGATTCAACCAGAGATGAGTATAGCTTGGTGAAATATTTTAGAGCTGGAATAATTAATCGTTTTACATTCAGAGGAACTATACTCAGCTACAGTAGCAGAGGATGAAATTCAGTAGAATATTAACAACTCTAAGTTACAGTGGCGCTCCCAGGATTTCAGTCTGGGAGGGGTCAAATGGAAAGTAAATTCTCAGTGTGACGTACTGAAGTGTTATAATGATTTAACATTAAAATCAAGGACATATGCAGACATATGAATTTGTTACAGTAATTTCTGTAGAAAATACGTACATACATTTTTTTTTAATTTTGAATCATACGAAATCAAAGGGTAAATAAAGCAAACCAAGCTCTCCCAATCTTCATATATTTAAACAAAAATGCAAAATAATATAATCTATCACATACTTCTCTACATAACAATGTCAGACAAAACAACAAAAAATACATCTTCATAAAAAAAATAACAATAACAAATATGTTACGACTTCTATAAAGTATAAAACTGAATGTAAATCAAAATAAAATTCTTAATCACGAGAAAAACATGATAGCTGGAGCATGGACCAAAAACTTCGTAATTGATATTATATTAAATTTCTATTTTTCCGTTTGTCATTTTTTAGACACGATTCTTTTATAGTTATAGTATAAAAGTTAAAAACAAACAGAAATTAATTTTCTGGCTTATGCGTGGAAAATTAAAAAACAATAGAACATAGAAAATAACGTTAATACCAACCAGATCAACAAAACCCGCTTCTTCACTTCTCATCCAAATTTTGTTGCGGACTCCACCCTAGTACAGAATTTAGACACTAGACTAGACCATAAAAGACTAGACTATACCTGTTCCGACAGGAAGAAGCGCACACCGTTGCTGTTGGTGGTAGAGTAGTCGCTAGTCGCATGCGCACTGAGCGGGGTGGCAGTGTTGCCGCTATCCTTTCTAAAGTTACAGATTTTTTTATAAGACGTTGACGTTTACCTTTTCAAAGACTGCTCGAGTCGTCTGGGGTAGTCATTATCCAAAGTAATCTCTTCGTTGCCACCAATTTTTTTTTAATATGTGTAATAAAAGCGGTACTGAGCGGTTAGTCTTAGGTATGGTATGTGAGAAGATTAGAAAAAGCACAAAATCGTAGCCATGAAATCCAGCTTCCCAGCTATGAACGTCATCGATGTCATTTATTTTGTGAATGCGCATGTGCTATCAAATCCGAACTTTCTTCTCTCTCAGAACCATCAGTTCGGAATTTGTTGGAACAGAGAACCGCCAGTTATGGAATCAACTCCATTTTCTGTTGGAACGGTAATTACGATCTGCGCATGCTCTGTTTGGTAGTTCTTTGCTAAAATATCCTATACTCTCGTGAAATAGCATTCTATTTGCGTTAGGATAAATTAATAATACTGCGAACAACTAACAATAGGGATCATGATATCTGACAACTCTGTGAATAAAAGGAGATTGGACAAGAGCAAATAAATATAGACAGGTCCCCTTACCACACCGAACCAAGTCTTACAGTGAAATCCATATACCACTGCGAGAGAGACAAGCGTGCAATACGTATGTTAGAAAGAGATAGAAGCACCTCGTTTCCTAGCAACTCGAGTGACGAGGACACGGACGCAGCTCGTTGCCATCGGCGCACTCATATTGCACGCTTCTCTCTCGTACACATTATGACGTCAGCTAAATTTGAACCTTGCCGTATATCTACCAACGCTAAATTATTGTCGAGAGAAAACTCGACGAGATAAAGAAAGAGCCACGTGATGGTCATAAGTTTCAGAATTTGTATTGACAATCTCACATGTGCTAAAATCATACTTTCCGTTTTTATAAAATACTGTGTGAGTTAGTAAGGGCATCGAAATTTTTATAGTATTTTGATTGCCCAGTTTTACTTGCGTACCGGACTCTCTCAAAGTGTGCCAGTCAAGCATAAGTTTGACCAGACAAGACAAACTATGGGAAAGTTACTATAGAGGAGATGTTTTATTTTTTAAATGCAAAATAAAACTACGTCACGCTCTATATGTTTTAAACACCTGCTATTATACTCCGGTAGCTGTCATTCTGGATAGTTAAAAAATTTATAGTGTCATTTTGCAAAATACGAGTTCGATCCCAAAAATGGGAGTGCTAACCAAGGAAGTTTTGGCAGAACTGAAGAAAGAATATCATAAATGTCGGTCTACCACTGACGTTGAACCTGCCCAAAATAATTCAGGTACATCTGATTTTTATCTGAATGAAACAAAGTTAAGCCATTTTTCTTTCACAGAATCGATGATAGACCAGTTTTTGGAACAAGCCGAAGAAGACTCTTCGGAATATATGAAACTGCTGTCTATGAAAGCATCGGTTTTATACGAAAAGGCCAAGATGTGTCTAAGCAAAAACCAGTTCGGACCCTGCAAAGAATTCCTGGAGAAAGGTCTTTCCATCATTAAAGACCGCTCAGACCATCCTCAGATACATTTTTTATACCTAAGAATTGTAAACTACCTTTCCTACGTCCTCTCAAGGACATGCGATCTTGACCAAGCAAAAAACCTTCTAGAAAGCATAGTAAACGCCGAGCTGAAAATAGAACCTTTGATCTACAGCACTGATGATCTGTTTTCAAACAACCAAGTTGACCAAGCCATTGCAAATTCTAAAATCCACAAACTGGTGATCAACAACATGCAAATGCTTGGTTGGATTTACGGAAAACTGGGTCTGACCGACCAGTACGCAGACATGGTCCACAGAAGTCTCCAAAAGGAGTTGGATACGATCGATGGTGACCCAATTCAATGGGCAGTTAGGTGTTACAGGCTGGCTTCACTGTTTTTGGCGCAAAGCAAATGGGCGAATGCCAGATACACCTCACAGCTGCTCAGATGGTGCTTGATCCGATGGAAATGGCGATAAATACGAATACCGCGGTGTTCTATAGAGTTCAGGCAGATTTGGCAAGGGTTTGGGTATGATTTCTTACAAAGAACTTCATAACAACAAGGCTGAATGAGTATTTTTGAAATCCCGTCAAACAAAGCAGCGAATTTAAGTCATACATTAAGCATATGTGATTCACATCCAGCGCCTTAAATGGGTTATTTTTCTCGAATGCCCTCTTTGATTGAGGTGTATGATGAAAACATATTAACAGCCTTCAAAACTCAATCAATTGGTTCATAACTATACAGGGTGGCCCATTCATGTGTGGACGGAATATTACTCATAAACAGATGCATTTTGGGGAAATCTATTTATGGCATGTGATACATGAAATTTGAAGGCACATTTCTAAAGTATTGGTCATTACACAGGGTGTCCCAATTTCGACCTACATATTCAAAGTTGTGATTTTTCAAATAGAATGCCTCAAATTTTATTGCATATTTGGATAAACCAATTCAAACGAAGAAAATTGATATAACATACTATGGGGTTATGGTAAATAGCTACTGAGATATAAGGTGTTTGTCTAGAAAAGCCCCCCCACTTCGGCAACCCCGCCATTTTGAAATTTGGAGTGCTGGGACACCCTGTATAATGACCAATATGTTAGAAATGTGCCCTCAAATGTCATGTATAACATGCCATAAATAGATTTTCCCAAAATGTATTTCTAAATGAGTAATATTCCGTCCACACATGGATGGGCCACCCTGTTTACGAGGGAAGTAGATGTCTTATGGGGATTCGGTCTCAAAACTTCCAAAATCCGCCACCAGAGGCGCTGGCGTCGCGCGCCATTGACAGGTTGTTGGACGGAATCTGTAATCATGAGTTGGGGATTCCGCCGCTAGATGGCGCTGTCAAACCAAACGGAATCTGTGTGTCATTGGACACCTGTCATGCGTCATTGGGCATCTCACGCATAGATGGCGTACACGTCATCTGTCATACGTCATTGGACACCTGTCATTGATGGGTTGGGCATCTCGCGCATAGATGGCGCCGATTTGTTTGGCGCTGTACAAACCAAACGGAATCTATGGTCATTGGACAGCTGCCATTGATGGGTTGGGCATCTCGCGCATAGATGGCGCCGATGTCGCACCTGTCTGGTGTTGGCGTGGATTACGGGGGGCAACGTGTATACAGGGGTGCATCGAAAAATAGCGGATCGATGGACCGACGGTATATCGTTAAATCGTATATAGCAAGGCGTGACCTAAATAGCGTGGTGGGCTCCTCTGGTCGGTCGGTCGGTCGGTCAGAATGTCTCATAACCTGTATACGATGTACTGTTATTATTATACAGGATGATACCGTTCAAAATGAAAATAGTATAGACATTCTGACAATTATTTCGCAAACCAGAGGTATTTTCAATAAAACTACAATAATACGTTTAATATTTTATTGAAAATAGAAAAAACTACATAGGTAATATGATATTTGAAAACCAGTGGCGTAGACGTTCAACATTTCTCTGGGTACAGGAAAATTGTCCGTTGGTGTGGCATGGATTGGAATCAGCAACAAAGTTTCCAGTAGCACACGGTGTACCATCATACTTGCAAACATCAATAATGTTGGGAAAAACACCAAAAATGTGACATTTCTTGAGTAAAAAGTTTGCTTTCTGTTCTCCACGAACGTAGACATAGTCAGCCGCATATATCACCTTATTTTTAATTATTTCATTTAACTTGGAATATTTAACGTCGCCGGAAGAATATTTAAGCCCATGGAAATTCTTCTCCAAGTAAGCGACAGTTTTCTTGTCTTTAGTATTTAATGTAGAAAAAGGTTGCGGAGGTGTAAAGATGTAATGACTTTTC